TGCCTATGAGGAAGAAACTGTCTCTCTCTCCATGCTTCTGATTAGCACGTTGTCTGGGAGTGCTTGCTGCCAGCCACACCCATGTTCTTGAGTCCTTTGGAGTCCTTCAAAAGGGAACGGTCACCAAGGGTTCCATTTCTTTCTCTTAAGTATATTGCAGTGTCCAAATGCCACTTTACAGCTACTATTTCATCAGTTCCTCCAACTCAATGGATTTTGATGGACAACATTCCTTTCTTGGGTTTGTTTTCTTGCTTTCTCATTCATTGTTATGGGCATAGGAAAAACTCTTGTTGTGGTAGTGTCCATGACAATACACCAAGGAATCAAAAACATCAACTTAGAAAAATGGCTCTTGTGGTCTGCCCATGTCTGAATGTGAAAACTGTCAAAGTAATGGTTTCGGCCAACCTTTCTGTGCCACCTGTTTGCGCTCACAGCTAGAGTTATCACAGGGTTCCCACTCCCCCACCCCGAGAATCTGTGCCTATAACTTTGGAACAAGAGCCAGAAATTCAACAGGCAATTGTTTTGTTTTTCTACAGCACAGTGATGAGAAGCACATGTGCTGAATTTCTGTCTGCCATACACCTGTTGAAGACTCACAGCCTCTGTCAGGAAGAATCTAGAGCAACGACTCTATTAGCAGTCAGTTACTCAAGTATGCTCTGAAAGGGCAAAGGGCTCTCTCTTCAGGGATTCTAAGATATTTTTTAGATACCAGGTAACTTTTTGTGGGACAAGTTTACATTCATGTTTGAAGGGTATATATAATTATAATGAATTATCTTCTTCAAATTGTCCTAGTACAGGATAACTATTTAAGATATTTGAGAGTGAAATACGGTTTGTGTTTTTCATCCTCGTTCTTGCAGTAAAAGGTAGGTGAGATAGACATTTCTAACCCACTTGAGTGTGGATGTCTCCCAGTTTGTTTTCAAAAGCAGTGATGCGTCACATATTTGCAGAGGGTCTGACTCACTGTTGTTTCAGCTAGGGTCCCAATCCTGCAAATCAATGCTTTTGACTGCTTTCTAATTATACTAATACATGCAAAGAGGTCTGAGGGGTTTCTTGCAGGATTAAAGTCAAGTGGCTCTGCTTGTACGAACAGGGCCTTGTTCAACAAAAAACAAATGTACATTGATCTGTATTTACATAGAATAGGGAAGCACGACGACACCTTAAATAGTCAGGTAAAACCTCTTAACTACCACCCAGGGGAAAAGTCCCATTGGGAATGGGAAGCTTTTGATTAATTCTTGCTTCAGTTTGCCCTGCCTGCTGTACATTCTTTTGTGCTCTGACCACTTGATTTATTAAACAAAAATGAGAGAGAGAGAGAGAGAGAGAGAGAGAGAGAGAGAGAGAGGAGAGAGAGAGAGAGAGAGAGATGTTCAGTCTGTGATGGGACAGAGAAAACTAAAAATGAAAGTGTAATTTAACCCCCTCTCCCAACAAACCAGAATACCCAAAACAAATGAATAGTGAGAAGCCTTCTTGTCCTAGGGTTCTGCTTGTAAAATTACCTAAAGTGAAGTGATATACCCACAGCATTAAACGAACAATAAAACATAACTTAAGTGCTTCTGGGAGCTTCCTACACGGGTGCTGTCCGGGTGGCCTTGAGGTTGCTTGCAAGTAAGGTGACCTGTGGGATTCTTGAGGGCCTTGTCCTAAGGGAGCTGGCTGGCTTGTCGTCCTTGCCTTTATCTTCTTTTTTCTTTTTCTTTTTGGCTTAAGGTGCTGCCTTTTCTTTTTTTAGTCTTTTTTTGCTGTTGAGACGAGTAGATGATGTGCTGTAGATTCTGAGGTGCCTCAGATTCTTAAATGAAATGAAAGGAATCCGTCTCCTGGGGCATCATGAGGTGTAGGCTGGGGACAGAGAAAGGCTCTGGTGGAGAGAGGCAAGAGGAACATTCATTCAGTGTTCCCACTGTCAAAACTGTGACATTGGAGGTCTCCGGTTACATAATCACTTCCTGGCAGCTTCAGTCCATACTTGTCCACACACCAGCAGAGTCCCCGTTTTCGGCCCTTGGACGGTTTGCACTGGAAAGGGAATGAAGGTGACAACAGTGAGAAAAGGAAAGCGTACATTTGAGCTGGGGTGGGGTGGTCATTAGTCGCCCTTGGAAGAAGACATATACTTCAGAAGAAATTAAATTGGGGCATCTCTAGACCTGGAGAATAATTCCCTAAATAAACGAGTACTCATAATGAGCCTTCTAGCTAAGCTGATCTAGGGACCAGAAATTGCCTACATTTCATGGAAATCTATGTAGAATTATGGCCTTCTAAACTAGAGATCCCCTTCTCATGGATCGCTGCCTTGTTACAGTGAGGGGGCTGGCATGGTTCAATGAGGCTGCGGGCTATACCATGGAGGGCCACTCAGGATGGACAGGCCACACTGGAGAACTCAGACATAATGTGATCCACTGGAGAAGGAAATGGCAACCCACTCCAGTACTAGTTGTTGTAGATTTTCCAAGCTGTATGGCCGTGGTCTTGGCATTGTAGTACCTGATGTTTTGCCAGCAGCCATGACTGGCATTCTCAGAGGTATAGCACAGAAAGATGGAATACTTTCTGTGTCAATGTGAGAAGAAAAATGGTAGGCAGGTAATTTATATCTACTCAGGAAGGTGGGGTAGGGCTGAGTCATTATCTTGTAGCAGTTTCCCAGGCTGTGGAGGTTCTATTGCATATGGATTGGCTGTTGAAATTCTAATCTTATCTCTAGTACTGTTGTAAGTTGTAGAGCATTTTGTGTTTTTCAGGACAGGAAACCATGCCGTATTTATTTTTAAAACTCTCTTCTTTCCTGTTGAAATTGTGTTTATGTTTATGAATTTTAATGGCTTCCCTGTATAATCTGACATAGTAATTGGATGTCCAAAATGCTCTACATCTTACAACAGCACTATAGATAAGATTAGAATTTCAACAGCCAATCCATATGCAATAGAACCTCCACAGCCTGGGAAACTCCGACAAGATAATGACTCAGCCCTACCCCATCTTCCTGAGTAGATATAAATTACCTGCCTACCATTTTTCTTCTCACATTGACAAACAGAGTACTCCATCTATATGTGCTATATCTCTGAGGATGTCAGTCACAGCTGCTGGCAAAACATCAGGTACTACAATGCCAAGAGTCTGGAAAACCTACAACAACTAATGAACTCCGGCCGTGAAAGCCTTTGATAACATATTTCCACTCCAGTATCTTTGCCAAGAAAACCACATGAACAGTAACAAAAGGCTAAAAGATATGATGCTGGAAGATGAGCCCCTCAGGTTGGAAGGCATCCAATACGCTACTGGGGAAGAGCAGAGGGCAAATACAAGTAACCCCAGAAAGAATGAAGTGGCTAGGCCAGAGCCAAAAGGATGCTCCACTGTGAATGTGTCTGATGGTGAAAGGAAAGTCCAATGCTGCAAAGAACAATACTGCATAGGAACCTAGAATGTAAGATCTATGAATCAAGGTAAGCTTGATGTAGTCAAAAATGAGATGACGAGACTGAACATTGACATCTTGGGAATCAGTGAACTAAAGTGGACGGGAATGGGCGAATTTAACTCAGAAGACCATTATATCTACTACTGTGGCCAAGAATCCCGTAGAAAAAATGGTGTGGCCTTTATAGTCAACAAGAGAGTAAAAAGGCAGTAATGGGATACAATTTCAAAAATGACAGAATTATCTCAGTCTGAATCCAAGGCAAACCATTCAACATCACAGCAATCCAACCCAACACCACAGCAACCCAATCACTGATGCAGAGGAGGCTGAAGTGGACTGGTTCTATGAAGACCTACAACACCTCCTGGGACTAACACCAAAAAAAGATGTCCTTATCATCATAGGGGAATGGAATGCTAAAATAGGAAGTCAAAAGGTAACCAGAATAACGGACAAGTTTGGCCTCGGATAACAAAACGAAGCCTGGCAAAGGCTAACAGAGTTTTGTCAAGAGAACATGCTGGTCATAGAATGTTCCAACAACCTAAAAGGTGACTTTACACAAGGACATCACCAGAAGGGCAACATCAAAATCAGATTGATTATATAATTTGCAGTCAAAGATGGAGAAGCTCAATACAGTCGATAAAAACAAGACCTGGAGCTGACTGTGGCTCAGATCATGAGCTACTCATTGCAAAATTCAGACTTAAACTGAAGAAAGTTGGGAAAACAACTAGGCCATTCAGGGTCGTCCTAGATCACATCCCTTATGAATATACAGTGGAGGTGAAGAATAGGTTTAAGGGACTAGATTTGATAGAGTGCCTGAAGAACTATGGACAGAGGTTCATGATATTGTACAGGAGGCCACAATCAGCCCCATCCCACAAGAAAAAGAAATGCAAGAAAGCAAAGTGGCTGTCTGATGAGGCTTTACAAATAGAGGTCATGCTAAAGATCCTACAAGCTAGGCTTCAGCAGTAAGTGGATAGAGAACTGTCAGAAGTACAAGTTGGGTTTCAAAGAGGTAGAGGAATGAGAGATCAGATTGCCAACATTCACTGGATTATGGAGAAAGCAAAAGAGTACCAGAAAAACATCTACTTCTGCTTCGCTAAAGACTTTGATTGTGTGGACCACAACAAACTGTGGCAAGTCCTTAAAGAGATGGGAGTACCAGACCACCTCACATATCTCCTGAAAAACCCGTATAAGGGTCAAGGAGCGAAAATTAAAATTGGATATGGAACAACTGATTGGTTTAGAATAGGAAAAGGAATACAGCAAGGATGTAACCCTGCTCAATTAATTTATATGCAGAGTACATCATGCCAAATGCCAGCCTGGAATTAAGATTGCTGGGAAAAACATCAACAACCTCAGATATGCAGACGATACTGCTCTAATGGCAGAAAGTGAAGAGGACCTAAAGGGCCTCTTGCTAAGAGTGAAAGAGGAGAGTGCAAAAGTGGGCTTGAAGCTCAACACCCAAAAAACTAAGACTATGGCATCCAGCCCCATCACTCCTTGGCAAATAGAAGGGGAAGTCATGGAGGCTGTGACAGACTTCACGTTTCTGGGATCCAAGATCACTGCAGCCATGAAATTAAAAGATGCCTGCTCCTTGGGAGGAAAGCTATGTCAAACATAGACAGCATAATAAAAAGTAGAGACATTACACTGCCAACAAAAGTCTGCATAGTCAAAGCGATGATATTCCCAGTAGTAATGTATGGCTGTGAGAGTTGGACCATAAAGAAAGCTGAGCACCAAAGAATAGATGCTTTTGAATTATGGTGCTGGAGAAGACTCTGGAGAGTCCCCTGGACTGCAAGGAGATCAAATCAGTCAATCCTAAAGGAAATCAACCCTGACTGTTCCCTGGAAGGCCAGATACTGAAGCTGAAGCTCAAATACCTTGGACACCAAATGAGAAGGGAGCACTCACTGGAGAAGACCCTGATGCTGGGAAAGATTGAAGGTAACAGAAGAAGGTGATGGCAAAGGATGAAATGCTTAGACAGTGTTACTGATGCAACAAACATGAAACTGAGCAAACTCCAGAGGACGGCGGAAGAAAGGAGGGCCTGGCGTGATGTGGTCCATGGGGTCACGAAAAGTCGGACTCGACTGTGTGACTGAACAACAAGCTAGTGATGCCAGCCTCCAGGTGGGACCTGGGGATAACCTGGAATTGCAGCTCATTTCCAGACTACAGAGATCAGTTTCTCTGGACAAAATGTATATCTTGATTTGAGAAGGTGCTTGTACCTGTTTCCTTTTGTAGAATCCTTTCCTGTCACAGTTGGGAAGGTGGACAGCCCGCGGGATCATTCGCTGGCTAGATTTAAGCTCCTGCAGGGATGCCTCCATCTGTCTACGGCAAGGGCCCTGAATATATGGAACAGAAAGGGGTGGGGGGACAGTCAGGTGCTGAAAGCAGATGGTACCCAGACACCCTGTAATGAGCAAGATGAAAGACTACGTTCCCAAGAAGATCAGGTGAACCAGAATGTTAAATATACTACTGAGCTGGGCAGAGCCAATTGGGAATGTCCCTGTTTATCTGTGACAGCAAAGTGTGCCTAGCCTAGTGCCTGAGCTGACAGCTTCTAAAATTTCTAGGGTTGTCAGACTCCCGGTCCAAGCAGGGGTCCCCCTGATTGCGAGGGCTCCTTCCCACCCCCAGGCAGCTGGCTAGCAGGGGGGGTGGAACCCCGCACCCAAGAGCGACCACCTAGCCACCCGAGAGCCAGTTTGGTGTAGTGATTAAGGGCACGGACTCTAATCTGGGGGAACCGGGTTTGATTCCCCACTCCTCCACATACAGCTGCTGTTGTGACCTTGGATCAGTCATAAGTTCTTTCAGAGCTGTTTCCTCAAGGACAGTTCTCAAAAGAGCTCTCTGAGCCCCACTTACCTCACAGGGTGTCTATTGTGAGGAGGGAAAGGGATTTTGAACCACTCTGAGACTCCTTTGGGCAGTGAAGGGTGGGATATAAATCCAATCTCCTCCTCCTCCGTACTGCAAGACTTAAAGGGCCCTCCTCCAATTGGCTGGAGGGCCCTTTAAATCTTCCAGGAGGGAGGGAGGGAGGGAGGAAGGAAGAGGTGGCCGTGCACAGCTTGGAGTGCAGGCACATGCGGCCTCCCCCCCACTTTTCCCCAACAACATTGAAACAGACCCTATAAATGCTTTTGGGGGCAGAAGCAGGGACTGTGCGCCTGCATTCGAAGCCGCAAATCTGTGGCTTGGAGTGCAGGCACATGTGGGCACCCCCCCGCCACCTCTTACCAAAAGCATTTAAAGGGACCCTTTATGCTTTTGACAAGTAGCAGGGGGCACTGGTCCCCAACGTGATGACATCACTTCTGTGCGACGTCATTTCACTGGGGATGCCCCAACTCCTCCAGTCCCGCCGGGGACTTGGAAGGACCTGGCAACCATAAACATTTCTCAGAGTTAGTCACATTTATTTATTTATTTATTATTCACATTTCTATGACAGGGAAGAAGCAGCCCCATTTCACATCTCTGAGGAAATGTTAAAATCTTGTTAGTCCTACCATCACCATTGGAAACAAAATGACTCTGCTCTATGTAAGCCAAGAGATTTCAACTGTAAGATCAGTACAACAGGCAGAGGAAGCCTTGCTTTCATCTGTGCATCACTAGGACTGCTTCTTTAGGTATTCTTCAGGGTTAGTGGGCAGAAGAAGAAGAAGAGATTGGATTTATACCCTGCCCTTCACTACCCAAAGGTGTCTCAGAGCGGTTTACAATCCCCTTCCCTCCCCCTCCCCACAACAGACACCCTGTGAGGTAGAAGAAAAAGAAGAAGAGACTGGATTTATACCCTGCCCTTCACTACCCAAAGGAGTCTCAGAGCGGTTTACAATCCCCTTCCCTCCCCCTCCCCACAACAGACACCCTGTGAGGTAAGAGAAGGAGAAGAAGAGATTGGATTTATACCCTGCCCTTCACTACCCAAAGGAGTCTCAGAGCGGTTTACAATCCCCTTCCCTCCTCCTCCCCACAACAGACACCCTGGGAGGTAGGTGGGGCTGAGAGAGCTCTGACAGAAATGTCTCTTTTTCAAGAACAGCTCTTATCAGAACTACGGCTTGCCCAAGGTCATCCAGCCAGGTGCAAGTGGAGAAGTGCGGAATCAAACCCGGTTCTCCCAGATTAGAGTCCGCTCACTTAACCACTACACCAAACTTGCTCTCCTCCTAGCCGTCAATTGTATAGATAGTTTAAGGTCTCCTCCTAGCCTGGGACTGTCTTATCCATACCATTTTAGACTGCTATGTTTTATGTGCTTTTATGTCCTGGATTGCTTCTATTGGCCACTTTTATTAGCATTTTTATTGATGTTGATTCTTTTACTGATATGTTATTATTGGTATAATTTCTTTTTGTTGTTATTTTTGCTGTCTGTTTGGTTTTGTTTCATTGCTGTGAGCTGCCTTGAGCAGGCATGGAAAGGCAGCATACAATTTTTCTAATACGGTGGGGCTCTCATGACATTCCAGGGCAGAGTGGTTCAGAAACACACTTGAAAACTCAGAATTGCTTCTGAGTTGTTTTACTTGAGGCTTTGTTTTAGGGAAGCCTGTCTCCTTGTGACAACCACACATAATCCATCTGGTATTGTGGCAATCACTAAAGGCTCGATAGATTTCCCTTTCTCCTGCCTGCCCCCAAAACAATGGTCTGTGAAGCACCTGACATGCCACGACTGATGGGTTGTGTTTAGCTTCACTTTCACATGCCTGGCCTAAGTCAACACCTAGTCACCCAAACTAGCACTATTAAGTCTGAGAGACAGTGGATAATCAGAACATTGTCTCCAGTGTAAACCTGATTCCACATTATGGTTCTGCACTCACTAACATGGATGTTATTCAGCCATCTATCCGAGGACTACCAACAGACAAATAGTCTCCTAAGAAGACATTCTTTCTAGTTTAGTTTATTCTGCTTGTATGAGCTGCGCTTATCTATAGACACGTGTATCATACAGGCATGTGCTGGCTTGTTCCACCAGTTTATCTGCCCTGGCTGCTCTTCACCAAAGATCCTTAACAACTGTATTTCAGTTGCTGAGGATTCTGCTCAAAATCCCTAAGCTCTCAGAGAACAATACAGTTTCTTAAGGCAACAGAATTACATTTAAGATAATTTCAATGTGTAGATATACGCTCAAAACTAATCCACATTATGGTTAACGTGCGGAGGCAGTCAACATGCAGAGGGTCATACAGTCTTATTTTAAAGCATTCTGGACAAGTACAAAAAAGAGGATCTTCTGTACATCATGCAAATGAGACAGTTCCTCCCCCCCCCAGTTCCAGCCAACTTACTAGTTCAAATTCTGGTCTCAGCTCAGGGGCAGTAGCCCGAGGGTGTGCTGTGTTTTCCGCTCCACCAACAAACTTGGATAAAGTTAGCTTCTTCCTGCGATCCTTCTTCAGGGCTTCAACCTTGAGGTCGGAGAGGCGCCCATGAGACTTGCCCCTGTATATTTTAGACGAGTAGGTCTCCTCTGCCATCTCTGATGTGGTTGGTTCCTCATGTTCTCGGGATTCCCTTTCTGGATGGGAGAAAGTTAAAAAAATACCAATTTTTAAAATGTGTTTTAACATCATTTTTGAATATTTACCTGATCCACAGGATACTTTGATATTTTTCTGTAACACACCTGAGATCTTTGCATACTTATTCAAGATCTGTAAGTGTGGAAACATGAGCCCATGCTCTAAGCCAGGGGTGTTGGACTCATTTGTTATGAGGGCTGGATCTGACATAAATGAGACCTTGTTGGACTGGGCCATGGGTGTCATAAAATGTAATGCCAGGGACTTCCAGTTTTCAGTGTGGTGGGAATGGCTGGCTCCGGGACTTGCTCCTGAGAAGCGGCCGGATCACCAGGTCTTTTAGCAGAGTTTGAGGGCTCTCGAACTCCATTGGGCTCCCCGGAGAGGAGGCCAAGCAGGGAGCTTGATCTGGATTCCCCATGAGCGGCGGCAAGCAGGTAGAAGTCCAGGATTGCCCTGAAGTGAGACCTGGGTGAGAGCGTACATAGCAGCCATGGATGTGGAGCTGTGACTCTGGGACGAGGGGAAAACTAGCAGACCCCATACAAACAATCAAAGAAGATTTTTAACACTGTATTCGTAAATGCAACAAGCCTAGAACTGTTATTGACTTTAAGCCCTTTAAAAATTTTAAACAGAAAGTATGAGAAAATGGAGAAGCCCCCCCCCCCCGTTCCCTGAAGCGGCTTGGGAGAGGAGTGAAAACGGAGCTATTTAAATAACTTTGTGGGCTAAAGAAGAGAAATGGTTGATGCCTGAGAGTAAAATTGTTTAACAGATTCACCAACTTTACAAGTTCATACTATACTGACATATTTGGAAAACTGTTATTTTTGGATTAGACTTTACTTCATTGAAGCTTCCCCTTTTTTGGAATTATAATTAAACTATTTGGAATTATATGAAGATTCTCTAATGGATTACAATTAATTATATTTTAATATTATTTGGTTTAAAAATTAAGACAATCATCAAACTTTTGCTTTAAAAAGAAGAGAGAAGAAAGAACTAGTAAACTATTTGAAACCTACTTTCACTTTCTAAACGTCACTTCTGCATAACAAAAATTGCAAACCTGGCAGTGTTGTGTCTTTGTATGTTGTAACCATCAAAACGTATTTTGTTCTAATTGTATTGTAAATAGTTGATAAGTTTGTCTGTTTAAGAAATAGCAAAGGAAATGTGCCGGGTGAACTTGGTCTGGACAGCCTAATCCACCTCACTTGCTTGCTGTTATTCCTCCTCTAAAATAGTTCACATTGTTTTCTAGCTGAGAAAGACTGGATCATGAGGACATGAATACAATGAAAAGGGGGAGGGAACCCAATTGCACCCAGGAGAACCCTGACATAAGGAGCCCAACAAAACACACACCCACACTGTAGCAAGGCACACAAAAGCTCATACCTTGATCAAAACTTTGTTGGTCTTAAAAGTGCTTGATGTTTCTCCCATGTGATTGAGGCAGCCCAGCAAAGCAAGCTCTCACTCGTTCTCAGCCAATAGAAGGAAAGAAAGGCTTCCCTTTGTCTCCTGCAGCCTGGAAAGGAAGCGAGCTCTGACTGTTCCCTCCCTCCCCCTTGGGAGGAGGAGGGGGAGGAGCCTCAGCCAGTTCTTTAGCAGACTCTCTCAATTGCACAGGAGAGGCTTGCCTATCTATCTCTCCTGTGTGATTGAGAGAAAATGGTAAAGTAAGTTGTGATGTGGCAGCAGCAAGAGAACTGGAAAAGGAAGTAGGAAACAGCCAGGGCCTTGGGGGCCAGATTGGGGCCCTCCGGGGGCCTGATCCAGCCTGTGGGTCGCATGTTTGGCACCCTTGTTCTAGCTCATGCTTTCCGGTTGGCCAAAGGAGCCCATCTGCAGTAACCTCTGGCTAGGGAAATTTGATCAATGGTAACCTGTATCAGAGCTTATTAGCTGCTCATGCTTTATGGAACTCACCCCTCTCCCATGTGCATTGTGAGGGCTTCCTTCTCTAGAGACCTTGTGGAGCTAGCTAAAAACTTCCTCATTCCAGAAGGCCTTTTTCTTTATTTTTTCCTCCCCTGGCATTTAGTGGTTTCTATCTGTTATCTGCTTTTATATTGATTATTTTATGGATACAACCTGGTTGCTGACAGGAGAGTTGATCTGCTGAATTATATGAGGATTTAGCCACAACTTTGACTTTCCTGGTGTATGACCTTGCAGCACATCCTGTCTGGAAGTCACTGACAGTGGTTTGCCCCTGGGTTTCATTGTGGTAAAGTGAATCTGTCATCAAAGAGGTACTTGTGACATGTCATAAAATATCAAAAGAGACACCGCAAGGAACCCTGGCCTCTCCCCTGATGTCTGGGAAGAGTTCTCAGTGAAGGGTGGCAGCAAATTTGCTGCCAGGGAAGGACTCCAGGTTGCCCTTTCAAGCCACAGGCTGGAAGTCTGTCACTTGGGAAGGCAGAGCACATGGTTTGCATTCAGAAGGTCCAAGGTTCAATCCCTGGCATCTCTAGTTAAAGGATCTCAGAAAGCAGGTGATGGGAAGGACCTTTTAGTGCTTGAAGAACAGCTGCTAGACAGCCCAGACAGAACTGCGTGAGATGGACCAGTGGTTTGACTCAGTAGAAAGCCCTTTCCTATACTCAGCTGTTTCCCCAACAGCAGATTAATTCATCAGTGAGTTGTACAATCTATGTTGTGAAGAGGACAATGTGTTCTAGAAGCTACAGTTCAGTTGTTCACATTCTGCACTGACATGTACAATGAAGTTAATCAGGCGGTTGCCAAATATTAGTTTTTGTAGTCTCCTTATGCACAGATATATTAGATAGACTATTAGATTAGATAGAGCAGAAGCATGCATGGTTGTTTCCAAAAGTCAGGTTGCCAGATCTGGGGGACATTCCTGGGGAATTGGGGGACGGGGCCTGGGGTGGGACCTCCACAAGGTACACGGCCATAGAGTCCGTGTTCCAAAGCAGCCATTTCCCCAAGGGGACTGATTTCTGTCAACTGGAGATCCATCGTAATCAGAGGTCATTTCGGGGGGGGGATCGCGGGGGAACACAGTTCCCCCGGGTGAGGTGCATGGGGGCGGGGCACATGACGAAGCCCCAACCCCTGCTTCCGGCCTGGTGGGGCTTCCTTGCACTCCCGCCGGCCTTGCAGGTCCACCACCGGGCCCCTGATGTCAGGGGGTGTGGCATATGCTAATGAGTTATGCTAATGAGTTCCCCTAGCTCTTTTTCTACAAAATGACCCCTGATCGTAATTCCAGCTCTCCAGCCACCACCTGGAGATTGGCAACAATATTCAAAAGGCACCTTTTACCAGCCAGGTGGCCCTTTACGTTGTGCCCGCGTCCTCCTGCCTTTGGTCTTCTATGGGACAAGGCCAGTTCAGTGCTGGGACCGGTGTGTGTGGGGGTCTTCAGCCAAACGCTTTCAGGTGGGTCTTTTTACTGCTAACCCCAACTCCCCCCCCCACTAGGAATTGGTGACAAAATTTGCTCAAAGGCACACAGAATGAGATTCTGATGTGCCTGAAATGGAAACATTAAAGAGACTTAAATGTCAACATCACAATTAACAGGATTTTTCAAAATGCTTTGCGATTTGTGTTTTTCTGTTTGAGAGAGAAAACCAGAGATTGTATTACTTGTTCTCACAATTAAAAAAAAAATACTAATTTCAAATTTTGTGTTTTTCATTGTTCCTAAAATGCATTTATATTTGAAAATTGGTGGGCGCACGGGGGGGGGGGATGCTCGAAGGTAGCCTCGTCTAGTGTGCAAAAAAAACTGGCCATGGCCCTGATCTCCTGACATGAAAGACAATTCCAGCAGACAAAGAAATGGCAACCATTATGCATGCACTCGGATTCCACAAACATTTTGAGATCTCTGTACAAAATCAGTCAGTTTGGTGTGGTGTTTTAGAATGTTAGACTACCCTTGGGGAAATTTAGGCTCAAACTTTCTGTCACCCTAAAAGTCACTTGCTGCCCTTCGGATAGTCATTTGCTCATTCTAACCTATCTCATAGAATGGATGTGAAGATAAAATGGAGAAGGGAAGAACCATTTATGCCACCTCAAGCTCCTTGGAGGAAAGGTGAGACAAAAATGCACCCAATAAATGTACTAAAAGTCAAAAAACCCAGTTTATGCATTCACAATACTGTTAATTTTCCTGCAAGTGTTGGTAATATATGGCCAGCCTTATCACTAAAGTTGACAAACATGCATTCCAACCAATCAGCTGCCCCAGAATCTTTACAAACAAGCAAAATGTCAGCATCTGTCCCCTTTGTCCACAGACTTTGATCATCAAAGGTATATCTTTCTAGGTATCCTGGCTAGTAGTTGCTTATACTCAATATAGGAGAATTTGCCTTGGGAGAGGCACGACTGCCGGGGAGATTAAACGGGTGCGATCATACGGAAACATCCTGGAAGCGTCGCCCGCCCGCCCCCAGCTCGTAGCTTACCGCTGAAGATCCGGAGTTAAAAAGTACTGCCCACGAGCTACTAGCAAACGGTTTGCCATGGGCCGCAGATGGACTGTCTCCGTCTGATTGCCCCAGCGCGCTCCCATTGCCCCGTTGAAGCGCTGTTTGCCGCCGTCGCGTCTGATTGCGTTGCAGCGGCTCAAATTGCGATGGCGCAAATAGCCACGCCTCTTCCCCATGTTATCTGGCCCGTGTGACTGGGGCTATAGTTGTGTAATTCTTTTTTAGAAAGTAATTTTTGCTCAGAGTTCTGAGCAACCATATTGGTCCAAAGAAAAATCCAGAACCAAAAATGCAACGTCCTTTGTTAAGATCAATCAAAATGACACAAATAACATGCAAACTTTGGAATGCTCCAGAACTTTTCACCCAGCTGGATTTTTTTTTAAAAAGGGAATGAGAAAGGGGGGAAATTGTGTCAGGAAACAATCTTGAAGCTGCTGGTTTTATATTGACAATATATGTTCTCATGGCTTCCCATGTCTTCTTCCCCCATGACTAAAGCAGCC